TGGTCCATTGGAGTGAACGGAGTTGTCGCAACTCTCTCTCTCTCTATGGCTCTGCTCTAGGCTACGTAGGATGGGACGAAACCATGCAGTGAATGTGGGAGATAATTTTGCTGGAAATGCAGAAGTAAGCCGTATTTTTGTTTTATTTGTAACTCTTTGGTAGATACATTTACAATTTCCATTACAATACTACTACTACTGTTACTACTAATAAAACAGATCTCTGGGGGCCCCAAAAGTGCGTGGGCCCTTAGAATCCCCCTAACCCCCCCCCCCTTAGCGGCGCCCCTGGGCCTTAGTCATAAAACCAATTCATAATAACAGCATTTTCTCTGTATTACTGCAATAAGTGTTCCAACACAGCAAAGAAATAACAATTACTGCAAGACAAAGAGCTCATTAAGTTTAAACCTCAGAGGTGTAATCATGTAATGACTATGATTGTGATGTTTTAAAAATATATTGACAATAAAACTGCAAATTGAAAAATAACTTTACCCAAAAAGTGACAAACGCATCCCAGTGTTATAAAATTATAGAGGGAACACTGCAAAAGATTACCATAAACAGTTAATTCTATCAGTGGCACCTAAAGATTGATTTCAAAACCTGATGAGAGTCATTTTGGCGATTTTTAGCATGCTCTTGAACCTTGGAATTTCCATGTTGTAAATTTTTTTTAAACTTAAAACCATTATGCATTTGTTGCATCAACTCGGGGCAAAATAGAAAACTTGCTACAAAGTTTTAAATTTGAGACAGTAAAAAAAGCATTTCATTTGCCAAAATATGCCACAAGTTCTAACAGCAGAACAGATAAGATCTTTGCCTGTTAACTTCTACACCTGATGCAACATCGTGCCATGTAAAAGCTCTCCGGCACTGGACGCGACAAAGCGAGCGTTGCAAATACCCGCATCTAGTGTGAATAGAATCACCGATTATAACGGGTTCTATTGGCTTTTGTTGTGTTGTGTTGTGTTGTGTCGTGTCGCGCCTCGCCACTCGCGTCCGGTGTAAACAGGGAGTATGTCAGTTAAAATTGGCAGCAGACAGAAATATGCATTTACACCATTTTTTTTTGTTCATGTTTGTTAACTTACCTTATTATTCTTGTATAGACGTAATCAATCTTTATCCAGTGGTAAAAATGAAAGCAGTTTCTCTGCTTCTTTTCCCAGCAGCTTCAGCAAATTCAGCCTCAATTAACCTGAGCCAAAGGACGTCAGCAAGCATGCACAAATTCAAAAAGTTGCTTGTTTCGCATGCTCTAACCTTCCTTATTTCTTCTGTTGTTTTGTTGCACATTAACAACATATTAGTGCACTGCTGCCTGGTGTATTGGTTCCTTTGTGGCTACTTGATTAGGCTATTTTAAGTAAGTAGGCTAAACTGTTTTATTCACCTTGAAATTAGCTGTAGCTTAATAAAACCTAGTAAGTACATCAACAAAGTAAGGATAACTAATGATATCTAAGTAAAGTAAATATTAGAGTTTATCATTTACTATACATTGTGCTTAATATATATTTAGCCTTGTTAAATATGTTTTGCTTTTGACTGGACAACATGACAATATATAGGCTAACATACAATACAAATAAAGTTCTACATGCAAATCTGTATCTTCCATCGATAATTCTCCAGTAAACTACAAGAAGTAATACTCACAGAAATTATCTTTCCTGCAGCATCATCAGCCGAGTCTCTCAAAAAGTCCATCACCACTAACACTACACAAGCCCTTATAGTCTAACCCACCCATGCTGTGCTTCCCTTATTTATAGTATTAAATATAGCGACTCAGGAAATTGTCCAAATTTGGTCATCTCAGCATTCTTTCCACCCTAACATGTCTTGTCAGATTTTTCCACATGCATGGATGAGTGATGGCGTTTTAAAATCTTGATGTACTTAAAAAAAAAACTAATTAAAAATGCCACCTGTTTGTCAGTAGATAAAGCTTTCTGAAACATCAGTCAACATTGTTATGACAGAACTTAAAAAATTAGAACTATATATGAAATAATATTTTAGAAGATTTATAACAGTACATTTACCTCAGAATAACCATTCGGCATCCATAAGCTCATTAGTCAGCTAGAAAAATAACTAAAGGTGCAATATCATTAAAGGTGTATCTGGCAGAACAGAGTACTCATACCTTTCCTGTCAAGGATCTCAGCCATCTGACACTCACACGACTTAACATCAAATATATGTGCTATATTGCATATTCATATTTTTACTTAACCTGTTGTCTACATGATAAGAAAGAATTTTTGAATTGAATACAATTCAAAACCTCCTATATAATTGCATGTTACTAATGAAGAAAAACAGACTGAATGTGTGCAAGATATACAACATTTTCAGGATGCATTGAGGAGGAGCCCAAACGGCACTCAATGGCCAAATGATGTTGACATAGTTATGGTCCGTGATATTGGCACATATTCTGTGTAATAAACAATTCTTTGTGACTGTCTATAGTTCTGAATTTGGAAAAGACTTTTAGTTCCCACTTATGTCTTGGGAACTAAGTGATCCTAGTTCCCATTCAGTCAGTCACGTTCAACGTTACGTCAGTGA